CAGAGACAGAGGGACGGACAGAGACAGAGGGACGGACAGAGACAGAGACAGAGACAGAGGGACAGACAGACGCACAGAGACGCCCTTACCTGTCGGAAAGGCACCTCTCCTGTCAGTGGCTGGCCCAGCATGACCATCCTCGCCACCCAGAAAAAGATCAGGTCGCTTCCTGTCTCCAGCAGCGAGTTGGGGTAGAAATCCCTGAAACCAGGCCTCTGCAGGGCAAAGATCGATCCCAGGTTCACGCTCACAGCTTCACAGTCACACGGCCGGCGCTCTGGTCCCCGCCTCAGCGGGAACGGAGGCAACCCGGCGTACGCACAGCGAGATCCCACCGCTGCGGTGCTGCAACCGGACCGCTGGAACTTGTTCCAGGAGCGGGACTAAATGGGCGGCTCTGCCAAACAGCAAACGTCAGCATGATGGACCAAATGGCCTCCCGTTACCGTCCCCTCCCATGCAAAGGGCCACGGGATCGATGTTTTGACGATTTCGCGAAGGGATAAACGATTAGGCACGGTGCTCGGGGTGGGGGGGGGAAACGCTCCCGCTCCTGGGGGGTGGGGCGGCCCTGCAACTGAGGCCTCGCCCAGGGGAGTGTATCAACAGCACTCCCTCCGTAGAGGAGGGGCAGACGAATCCGACAGCCCGACTCAGAACACTCCCCTCTCCAATTCACACTGATGCCTGCCTGGTGTAGCCACAGGGAGCCTTGAGACCATAAGGTACAGGACCAGGATTAGGCCATTCGGACCATCGGGTCTGCTCTGTCATTCCATCATGGCTGATATGTTTCTCAACCCCATTCTCCTGCCTTCTCCCCTCTAACCCTTACTAATCAAGGCCCTACCTATCTCTGTCTTAAAGACTTGGCCTCCACAGCAATAAGTTCCACAGATTCTGGCTGAAGAAATTCCTCCTCATCTCAGTTCTGAAGGGCCCTTGGGACCTAGCCTCTCCTACGAGTGGAAACATCTTTACTGTGTCCACTCTATCCAGGCCTCTCAGTGTTCTGTAAATTTCAATCAGAGTCTCCCTCATCCTTCTAGACTCTATCGAGTATAGGCCCGACAGGCGCCAGAGGACACAGTTCCCTTCACACGGAACCAGGACTCACCTCGTGTGGCCATCCCATCGCTGCAAACGGGAACAGAGCCGAGGAAAACCAAGTGTCCAGGACGTCATCGTCTAGGGGAGCACAAAACAAGATGGAAACATTGCTCTGGTCAAGGTTTCAGCATGAATGGCCAACACACACACACAGGCTTGCACACACTCCAGACCTGGGTTAGTCTACACACACACAATCCAGACCCAGGTCAGTGCTACACACACACATACACAATCCAGACCCGGGTCAGTGCTACACACACACACACGCACAATCCAGACCCGGGTCAGTGCTACACGCACACACACACACACAGTGTAGAACCAGCTCAGTGCCATATACATACCCCACCCCCACCTGTGACCCTGTGTTGTGCGCACACATTGCCATGTCTGTGCATCACCCTGCACTTGTATACTGCTGTATAACCATACGCTCGCATTTCCATGATGCCCTGTGTCCATGGAAAAAAATGTCCATGCGCTGCCATGTCTGTGCTGCCCCATGCCCAGTGTCACTGTGCCGTGTCCGTGTTGATCTATACCCACGTGCCCTGTGTCCGTGTTACTTTGAGCCCATGTGTCCCCGTGTCGCCCGTGTCCCCGCCATTGTGCCCGTATTGCTCTATACCCGCACTGCCCCCTGCCCAGAGGTACCTTGTTCCAGTGTAATCTCGCTCTCCTTTACCCCGTGCTGCTTCGCTGCGTTCCTTCGAGCCTCCTGCTCTGTCCTGCCGATGGCCCACAGCCCGGCTGCCTCTCCCTGCGGGTGACCCAGGGAGAAGGAATGAGAGCCGAGGTCGTGGGGAACCCTCCCTACTTCCCCGTGTAGGGGACGATCACCACTTCAACACTTATCCTGCTCAGTTCGGTTGCTGCTCTCTCTCTCGGACCCAGCCCCGAGTCTGACCTCCCCTTCTATGTCTGATCCCAGCTTTGCCCGTCCTCATTCCCCTCCCTACTCCTTCATGCAGCCCCCATCCTAGGACATTTCCACCCGGTCCTGTTCCTCCCCCCCCCCCCCCTCCCTGAATTTGTGCCTTACCCACTGCCCTGACTTCAGTCCCAAATCCACCACCCACTTTCATGCCCCTCGTGCGTGCTCCTTCGCCCAAGCGCTGACCTCTCCACGACCCCTTTCGCACATCGCTCCCCATTTTGGCCCTTAGGCCCTCTCCTGGCACGGGATTTGCTCCGAAAGCCCCTGCTCCCTCCCTCCCAATTTCTCCTCCTCCTCCTCCATCAAAGATAACCATGCTGGCCAATCTCCGCGCACCGCCCCGACCCTCGACCCCCTCTGAACGTGCTCCGTCCACCCCCCACACCGCCCCCGCCACCCTCATCTCCTCCTGGGATTCAGGATAAGCGCCGGCCTCCCGCGCCAGACTTCTGAAGCCCTCCCCGCCCTCACAAAGACGCCCTGTCCCTCTCAGGCCAGGAGCTAATCGCGGCCGCCCGCAGGGGTCACCCTCACCTCCAGGTCACACGAGCCGGGGAAGGCAACACGATAGGCCGGAATGCGATGACCCCACCAGAGCTGCCGGGAGATGCACCAATCACTGGAAGATGAGGGGTTTGGTGTGGGGGGTGGGGGTGGGGGTGGGGTAAGCAGGAGGATTGGGGGTGGGGGGGGGAGGGTTGTCAGTCGGTTATCTGAAATCTCCAGAACACGCTTGTTCATTTCATTTGCTCATGCCCCAACGGTCGCGTCAACCATCCCTAATTGCCCCAAGAGTTGACCACACTGCAGTGGGTCAGGAGTCACGTGGACCAGCCCAAAGCAAGCTGCCCTCTACACCGGTTGTTCCGGCAATCCACTTGCGGTCGCCGTTCAGCCAGCTGGGCTTTCTCGTTTGGTTCAAAAACAAAACCTTTTAAAATCGCAGACTTTTAGAGTTAAATCAAAATTCCGCTGCGGGTGGGACCCAAGGCCGCGTCCCCGCAACGTCACGGATTGGCGTGTTCCCTCGCTGACAGGTGGAGGGCAAACTAGGCCCGGATTTGGCTTAAATTAAAATCTCTCCAATCCCACCTCCCCCACGGCCCAACGCCCCCCTCCGCAGCCGCAGGGAAGGGAAAAACCGAGGAAAGCATACAACTCCAAAGCCGCTCGCCGTCCCGAATGTGCGGAAACACGTCGCCGGGTCAAAATCCTGGAATTCCCTCCCCAAGGGCAATGTGGGCCAACCCACAGCAGCGGTTCAGGGCGGCATCTCACCCACCACCTTCTCAAGCGGCAACTAGGGGCGGGCAATAAACGCTGGGCCCAGCCAGCGACGCCCATGTTCCATGAGTGAATGAACAAAACACTCCGAAAGGAAGACTGTGTGCCAACTGCTACCGCCCCCACCCACCACCCACCCACTACCCCCAGCCATGGTACGCTCCGTACTGGGCACATACACGCACACACACACCCGCCTCCCTAACCCCCCAAGCACTGACCTGATGTTGGACAGCCAGCTGCGCCAGGTCTTCTGGAAGGAGCTGGGGACGAAGGTCAGCTCCTCCCGGTCGAGGGCCTGTGCGTGGGCGCAGGAGAGATCGATAAGACGTATGAGAGAAAACAGCTGTTGGTACAGCACAGCTCTCCGTCTCTGCCCGTCCCCCGTCCCCGTCCCACACCACCGCTTCCCCCCCCCCCCCCCCCCCCCCCCCCCCC